TCCTGGGGAGGCCTCTGTGGTGTCAGGTGTAAGAAACAAGAGGTACCCACGAGGTCTCCCACACCAGCACAGGGACCAGTACCCACCTACTTACCTCTTCACTCTGGATGGGCCTGGGGGTGTTCCAGGGAACGTCCCCCAACATGTCCTTGTTCTCATCTAATCCCAGCACGGCCCACGTGAGAGTCGCTAAGCTGTTCTGTGATGAATGCACAGAGAATACTTCACTCGCCCCTCCCAGGATACATGGTTCTTATAGGTAGGCGCTGCCCCAGATATGGGGCTCAACTAGGCAGGTACCCTGCCGGGCTCAGCACCTAGGAACTGCTCCCAGAGCCCCCACTGCAGAGCACCCCCAGCCCCTCTGTTGGACAGATCTGACCTTGAGCCCCTCAGAGCAGGACCTGAGGTAACAAACAGCAGCTTCTGGACAGGTCTGCGACCCTGGGCTTCACTGTGTGCGGCCTCCTTCCAGCAGGTTTTCCAGAGGTTTCCATTGCACCTGACCATTGAGCCTGTCTCCACCCCCACCCCTCCTCTCGCTGACCCCTGGGTCTCTCTCATTAGAAGAAGGCCTTCCTGAAATTCTCTCCCACTTGTTGGCCAGATAAAATGATTAGAAAACAAGTCAGAGCTGCAGTCCCATATCCATCCTGACCCGCATGACCGACACCTGTTCCTGGAACTTTGGCCAGCACAGCGAAGCTCATTTTCTGAAACCACAAGCCCAGATGGACAACAACTGGCTGACCTGGCTGGCCCACCCTTTGCATGTGTGCCTGGGTTGAGGTCTATATAAACCTCCTCAAGGCAGCAAGAGTGCCTGCAGCTGTAGTTGATGTTGTCTCCTCTGCCTAGAAGTTGCGGAGCTGGCCTGGCAAGAGAAAGCAAGGGGCCCTGGTGTTTCAGGGGATCCCGTCTGTGTGGGGCTCTGCTGGACCTTCTGCAGAAAGTGCGAGGCTGCCACTTGCTAAGGATGGGCTGTGTCGCCTGTTTCTGCTGTTGAAAGTGTTCCCAGGCAGAAGTGAGGAAGCAAGAAAATAGGCAGTGGGAGCAGTTACCCCAGGAGGGGTAACTCAGGTAGGAAACTGGAAAGCTTCCAGAGGATCACCCAGGCCAGGACCATCATGCCTGACCTACAGCAGCCAACTCAGCAAGCGTGCTGTCGCTGGAGTGGCTCTGAACACTTTTCTCCAGCCTGTAAAGTCTTTGCACATATTCAAGTGTTTTACCTGCTAAGGGTGGATGAGGTTCGGGAGTAGTTAGCCTGGTTTGGGGGTCAGCCAGCATTTACTTAGAGATGCCTCCATGGGGTCTCCCAGTTTCCTACTGAGGACCCTCCTTGGGAGGGGAGTGGGTGGGGTGAGAGGACTGCTGGCTGCACGTGACTAAGTTCCCACCCCTAACCATCTTCAGAATTGCTCATCCCTGTAGCAAGCATCCCAATTGGGTTTTCACCTGTGTGATTAGTGGCTTCTTAATTAGCAATGTGAACATTGATATTAAATGTCCTCAGTCAGGACTGAGATGTTACACCACATGTACTGGTGTAAGAACCTAGGGAGGTGTGTGCAGCCAGTACCCCTAGGGACAGGCTTCAGACTTGACCCCTCAACATTCTGGAGTCCAGCCACTGCTTTAGCATTTCTGAGGATCCAGTGCTGACTCTAAGGATTCTGTAATACACCCTCCATCTGCCTTTACTGAGACCCACACTTCTAGGATCCTACAGAGCAGGGTCTGTGTGGCTTCTCTAACAAATGATCACAAGCTGGGTGGTTTAAAACAACAGGAGTTCATCCTCCCCCAGTCCTGGAGACCAGACACCTGAGATCAAGGTGGAGCAGGGCTGAGGTCCCTCCAGAGGCTCCAGGATAGGATCCTTCCTGCCTTTTCCAGTTTCAGGGACTCCAGGGGTCCCTGGGCTTCTGGCCCCCTCCCTCCCATCTCTGCCTCCACCTTTAAGAGGCTTCTCTTCTGTGTCCTCTTTCACCTCTTCTAAGGATTCTTGTTAGTGGGATTGAAGGTCACCCTAACCCTAGATGACCTAACTACATCTAGAAAGACCCTTTTCTCAGATATGGCCCTGTTCCCATGTTCTGGGGGGACACATCTTTGGGGGCCAGCATTCACCTCATTCTCTGTGTGTAAAATAACCCTCATTTTAAGAGATCACCACAGGCCCATATAGACCGACACAGACAGCGGCCACACAGGTGGAGTCTGGAGAGAGTGAGGCCCTTGGAGTCACCTGGAATGGATGACAGCCTGGCTTCATCAGGTGAGGGAACCGCAGGGAGGAGAGGAGCATGGTCTTGTTTATGTTTCAGAAAGACCATGTTGGGGTGGGATGTGAGATGCACCGAGGAGGCAGGGAGCTTTGTCAGGGCCTGATGGAGGGGTTAGGCTTGGGCCAGGGCTGTGGGTGTAGAGGGGAATTAGTGTGGGGCTTGGCCATATGCCCTGGAGGAGGAACTGACAGTCACTGGGGCACAAGGAACTGGGAACCTGGGGGGGCCTCCGTATTACTGAACCTGAAGAGAAAAGGTAAAATTTTACATCACCTCCTGCTCCTTCTGCCTCTGTAACTCAGCTTGCTCCTGCAGAGTCTGGATCACATAGGTCACATAGCCAGGAAGTGGGGGCTTACAATACTCAGAACTGGAGCTTATCTCACCCAACATTGTCCTCCACTTTGCAATTGCCTGGCCCCTGCAAACCTGCTTAATCATGCCTGTCCTGTGTGCAAAGGTGAGATATCCCCTCCCCATCTTGACTGCTGTTCCTGCATGCATGTTCCCTTAGTTTGTTTTTTTTTTTTTGTTCTTTTTTTGTTGTTGTTGTTCTTGTTCCCTTAGTTTAAACCAGCCTATAAACAACTAGTGTTGCCCACTGTAATCTGTCTATAAAAACTCTGTAATGCCTTTGTTCAGGGCTCAGAGCTTGGAGCGTTAACTCCTGGGCCCGCCAGCGTAATAAATCTGAGTTCTCCAGCTTTCCGAGTGCAGTGCTTGGTTGCTCAATTACTGGTTTCTGCAACAAACTGAACTTGAGTCTACATACCTGAGCTCAGTAAAGCCAGTCGCCTGATACCAGTTGTGACAAAGGAAAGTGCAGCATTAATTGTAAAGGCACCAACACGTGGAGAACCAGTGGCTCCTGCTCTAAACCCTGAAATCCCTGAAGGGTTTCTGCGAAGCAACTATACAGGCCACAAGAGGGAGTGGGTCACAGACTGTGGATCCCCTGGTGCATGGTTCTCTGGTTGGTGAAGTAACAGGCAGCTAACCTCACAAATCCTCAGGCACTAGAAGCTCTGGGGACTATGTGTTCATGCTAATCAAATAGTTAACTTCTTCCATTCAGTGAGGGTTTTTGTATCTGTAAAAGAACTTAGGGAGTGTGCATCAGATACTCTCCATAGGTCAAAGAGGAGCTACAGCAGAGGATATGGGATGGGGTCTGTCCTGGGATGCCCCATAGGCTCCTGCTCAGTTACACCAGGTGTCTGGGCTCAGCAGCTGGGAATGGTGGGGTTGCCTCCTGGGTTTGGGGAGCAGCAGGAATTCCGTCCTCCAAGGGGCCTGTTAGCCCACAGTGTGAGATGGGGAGGTAGTGGATGGACAGATGCATCTGTCTTGGGAGAAGGGTCCAGGCTAGAAATGTCACTGGAGTCATCACCAGGAGGAAGAGGGAAGGCCAGGAGGGGGCAGTGGGTCACAGCTGACCCCACACAGGTGATGGTGGTCTTTTGGAAGCAACTCAGAGCTGGAAGGACTGGCCTTTAGGAGCCCAGCTTCACCTCTTGTTCGTTTGTAAAACACAGTCTCAGAGTTTGAGACACCATCAGGAGACCTCTGAGTCCAGTGCTGCTGTGGCTTCATCAGAGGGGCTCAGCCCTGCCCACATCCCCAGTGGGGATGCAGCCCATCAGGACATTGGGGTCCACAGACTTCAGGGAACCCTCTGCCCTCAGGACTGGTCACCCTTCTTCCAACCAGCTGCTGGTCAGAGGTCCACATTCTCCCATCCTGATTCCACCCCCCGAGCCAGAGGAGTAGCCCAGTGTATAGATGGGCCACTCAGTCTTCATGTTTCCGTTGCTGGACATTTTGGTGGACTCTGTCTTGGCTATTGTAAATAGTGCTTCCCTGAAAATGGGCGCACGTGTCATTTCAACCTGTGATATTCTCCAGATCTGAGCCCGGGAGTGGGGTTCCTGGACCCCATGGCTCCTCTGTTTTTTTTTCAGCCCCCCCCCACCCCATGCTGTTCTGCAACATGACTGCACCCTTGTGCATCCCCACTCAGAGTGCAGGGGGATTCTGTTTTCCCTATGTCCTCTGCAGCATTTATTCTTTGGAGATCTTTCCAGTGATGGCTGTTCTGACCAGTGGGAGGGGATTCTTCAGGATAGATTTGATTAGCTTTGATTTAACGAGTGGGTCTTCCCTGGTGTGGCTCAGCAGTAAAGAATCTGCCTGCAAGGCAGGAGATGTGAGAGATGCAGGCTCAATCCCTGAGTTGGGAAGATCCCCTGGAGAAGGAAATGGCAACCCTTTCCAGTATTCTTTCCTGGAAAATTCCATGGGCAGAGGACACTAGCAGGCTACAGTTCATGGGGTTGCAAAGAGTCGGACACGACTAAACAACTGAGCACAGTCATGAGTGAGGGAGATGTCTTTGCAGGTGCTTGATTCATGTATGCTGCTGCTGATTCATGCATAGCGAGACATATATATGTTCTTTTTCAGGTTCTCTTCCCATATAAGTTTTTATGGAGTGTTGAGGGTTCCTTGTGCTATGCAGGGGGTCTTCATGGATGATTTCATAGAGTGGTGTGTGTATGTTAATCTAAACCAGCTCATTTCTCCCTGCCCTCCTCTTTTCCTCCTTGGGTGTTTCTCTCCCCACCCCACCCCCATTTATTTTTATTAGTTGGAGGCTAATTACTTTACAATATTGTAGTGGTTTTTGCCATACACTGACATGAATCAGCCATGGATCCACATGTGTTCCCCATCCCAATCCCCCCCCCACCTCCCTCTCCATCCCATCCCTCTGGGTCTTCCCAGTGCACCAGCCCTGAGCACTTGTCTCATGCATCCAACCTGGGCCGCTGATCTGTTTCACCCTTGATAGTATACTTGTTTCAATGCTATTCTCTCTGAACATCCCACCCTCGCCTTCTCCCACAGAGTCTAAAAGTCTATTCTGTACATCTGTGTCTCTTTTTCTGTTTTGCATATAGGGTTATCATTACCATCTTTCTAAATTCCATATATATGTGTCAGTATACTCTATTGGTCTTTATCTTTCTGGCTTACTTCACTCTGTATAATGGGCTCCAGTTTCATCCATCTCATTAGAACTGATTCAAATGAATTCTTTTTAATGGCTGAGTAATATTCCATGGTGTATATGTACCACAGCTTCCTCATCCATTCGTCTGCTGATGGGCATCTAGGTTGCTTCCACGTCCTGGCTATTATAAACAGTGCTGTGATGAACATTGGGGTACATGTGTCTCTTTCAGATCTGGTTTCCTCGGTGTGTATGCCCAGGAGCGGGATTGCTGGGTCATATGGCAGTTCTAGTTCCAGTTTTTTAAGAAATCTCCACACTGTTCTCCATAGTAGCTGTATTAGTTTTCATTCCCACCAACAGTGTAAGAGGGTTCCCTTTTCTCCACACCCTCTCCAGAATTTATTGTTTGTAGACTTTTGGATAGCAGCCATTCTGACTGGTGTTTAATGGTACCTCATTGAGGTTTTGATTTGCATTTCTCTGATAATGAGTGATGTTGAGCATCTTTTCATGTGTTTGTTAGCCATCTGTATGTCTTCTTTGGAGAAATGTCTGTTTAGATCTTTAGCCCATTTTTTGATTGGGTCATTTATTTTTCTGGAATTGAACTGCAGTAGTTGCTTGTATGTTTTTGAGATTCTCCTTGGGTGTTTCTCTTTGGTAAAGAAGTTCATCTCCATTTTTACATTCCACCTAGAGATGATACCACATGATTCTTGTCTTGCCCTGTCTCCCCTACTTCACTTACTTTCCTCTTTATGGCTATAATATCATTATTTGATCCTTTTTAATGGCTGGATAATATTGTATTATGTCTAGGGACCCCATCTTTACCTGTTCATCTGTGTTCTGCCCTTAGAGTGCTGCTGTGTCTTGTTTATGGTCCTAGAGCAGCTGTGATTGTAGGGCTGCAGGCGTATTTTCAAGTTTTGGTTTTTTCCATATCTACACCCAGATGTGGGATTGCTGGATCCTATGGTACTTCTGTGTTTAGTTTTTTAAAAGAAACTTCATATTCTTTGCCTAATGGATGTACTGATCTATATTTGCACGAAGAGTGCAGGGGCATTCCCTTCTCTCCTCATCCTCTGCAACATGTATTGCTGGAAATTCTCTGAGATAGCCATTCTAGCTGGTGTGAGGTGATAGCTCATTGGACTTTTTATTTGCCTGCCCCTAACTATTAGTGATACTGGGCATCTTTTCAAGTGCTTAATGGCCATGTGTACGACTTCTTCATGAAATGTCCATTGAGGTCTTTGGCCCATTTCCTATTGGGTATTTTTTTTTAATTGAGCTGCTTGAGCTTTCTGTATGTTTTAGAGATGAATTCTTTGTGGGGATCTTTGTTTTAAAATATTTTTCTTACAGTTTTTCCAGTGGTCGTCTATGTGAGAGTTGGACTATAAAGAAAGCTGAGTGCCAAAGAATTGATGCTTTTGAAGTGTGGTGTTGGGGAAGACTCTTGAGAGTCCCTTGGACTGCAAGGAGATCCAACCAGTCCATCCTAAAGGACATTAGTCCTGGGTGTTCATTGGAAGGACTGATGTTGAAGCTGAGACTCCAATACTTTGGCCACCTGATGTGAAGAGCTGACTCATTGGAAAAGACCCTGATGCTGGGAAAGATTAAGGGCAGAGGAGAAGGAGACGACAGGATGAGATGGCTGGATTGTTTTGCCCGATGTCCGAATCCCTGAGCGGGAACAGAGAAGGCTTCCAAGACAATGCAACTCACAAAAAAAGGGAAGTTTATTACTGACTTGAATCAGGGCTCCTGCCGCGCGTCCAACACAGTGGTATGGGGTCAGAGAGCCCTGAGCAGAGGCGGTTACCCAAATTTATAAGGTATGCATAAGCAGTTAGTAGCTGGCTTAACCGGATTGGTTTACATGGGCTCTTGTTCAAACTTAGGCATCCGCGGGCTTTTTAGCTCTCCCTTTGTTTCTTACTGGGCGCATATTGATTGGCTGGCTCCAGGTTACCTGATGGGGGCGGGGAATCCCACCATTTCACGGGAAACCGAAACCCAGGTCCGGGCCGCCTGCCAGCCCCGGCAGCCCCACATGGATGGCATCACTGACTCGATGGACATGGGTTTGGGTGGACTCTGGGAGTTGGTGATGGACAGGGAGGCCTGACGTGCTGCGGTTCATGGGGTCGCAAAGAGTCGGACATGACTGAGCAACTGGACTGAACTCTTAAGCTTGTCTTTTTCATTTAGTGTCCTTTACTTTGAAGATGCTAAGGTTAATTATGTCCCTTTGGCCTATTTTTATTTTATTTTTTGTTACTCTAAGATATGGATTCAAAAAGAACTTGCTGTAGTTTACAACAAAGCATTTTCTGTCTATACTTTCCACAAGGGTTTTATATTGTCTGTCCTCACACTGAGATCTGTAAATTATTTAGTTAATTTTTGTGTATGGTGTTAAGGAGTGAGAAATGGACTATTTCCTGCTGTATCAGTTAACAAGGATGTCCTAGTCATCAGCAATTGCAGCCCTCCAGTGTAAGCTGGTGAGCCGTCGGGGAACTCCAGAAGGAGAATAATATCTGCTCTCTAGCAGCCATCAAACTGCGGCTTCAGCCGTGTCCGACTCTGTGCGACCCCATAGACAGCAGCCACTAGGCTCCTCCGTCCCTGGGATTCTCCAGGCAAGAACACTGGAGTGGGTTGCCATTTCCTTCTCCAATGCATGAAAGTGAAAAGGGAAAATGAAGTCGCTCAGACGTATCCGACTCTTCGAGACCCCATGGACTGCAGTCTACCAGGCTCCTCTGTCCATGGAATTTTCCAGGCAAGAGGACTGGAGTGCGGTGCCATCACCTTCTCTGTAGACTGCAGACACGCCCTAACGTGAGCCCTGAGGAAAGGAAGCTCAGGATGTGAAAACAGGATGCTGGCCCCAGATAGGTGAGGTGCATATGAAAGGAATGCTTTCAGTGAGCCCGGACTCTTGCATCTTCCTGTACACAGAAAAGCACTAAATCCCTTGACTCGGGATATCTGGTTTTCTCTAACAATAATCTTTTGATATTCAGACTACCTGCTCTTTGTTACAAAGTTCTCTGTAACCTGGCCCCTCCCTTCACCTCCTGGGAGCAGTTCCCAGGGTTACTTGAGATGGTGTCTCCTGGGCTTAAAGCCCTAAAAATTCCCACCAAATAAAACACAAATCTCAACTTCCAGGTCAACTTTTAAGTCAACAGAAATATTTTAATTTTGTTCCCAGTTTCATTGTTTAAGGAAACTCCACATTGTCTCCATGGGCTTCCCAGGTGGCGCTAGTGGTAAAGAACCTGTTTGCCAACACAGGAAACGTAAGAGACAGGGCTTTGTTCCTTGGGTGGGGAAGATCCCCTAGATGAGGGCACAGCAACCCACTTCAGTATTCTTGCCTGGAGAGTCCCAAGGACAGAGGGGCCTGACAGGTTACTGTCCACAGGGCTGAAGAGAGTCAGGCACGACTGAAGTGACTTAGCATGCATGCACACTGTCTCCACAGTGGCCCTTCCCAACTGACATTCAAGCATTGATGGAGGAGGGTTCTTATTTCGCCACACCGTCTCCAGCCTTGGCTCTTTGTATTGACAATGGCCATTCTGACTAGTGTGAGGTGATAACTTCACTGTAGCTTTGATTTGGATTTCTCTAATATTTAGCAAGGTTGACATCATTTCCTGTGATTTTTTTGAAGGGTATGAGTGAAACATCTTGCAATGGACTCTTGAATGTCTGTGCTGTGTCTTGATGAACACTCCTAGAACATTCCTTGCAGACAGGTGTTATTCACTCGAAATGTTGCAGAAACCAGTACTCGAGAAACCAAACAGGACACTCGGAGGGCTGGAGGACTCAGGTTTATTATGCCAGCAGGCCCAGAGGAGTTAACACTCCAAGCTCTGAGCCTTGAACAAAGGGGTTACAGAGTTTTTATAGACCTACTATAGTGGGCAATACTGGCTGCTAATAGGCTGGTTTAAACTAAGAGGTTTCCTGCACGTGAGAACAGTGGTCAAGGTGGGGAGGGGGATGCCTGACCTTTACATGGACAGGCATGATTAAGCAGGTTTGCAGGGGCCGGGCAATTACAAAGAGCAGGACAAGGGCAAGTGAGATAAGCTCCAGTTCCTAATATTGTTAGTCCCCACTTTCTGAGACTGTGGGACCTACATGATCCAGACTTTGCAAGGAGCAAGCTGAGTTACAGAGGCAGAAGGAGAAGGAGGTGATGTAAAATGTTAACTTTCCTCTTCGTTCCCCACTCTTGATGCCTCTATTACTTGTAGAAAGCATCATCTCATGTTTTGGTAGGACATTCAGAGCTCCCCATCGTTTAGGGGGCTATATTGAGCTACTACTATTTGTAACTTTATGGATTCAATCTGAGAGGTTATGAACCAGGTAATTGCTTTGAGAAAACAAGAGCCCAACAAGAGTGCTGTCAAGAGCATGGAAAGGACCTGTTAAAGGGAGAAGCCATGATGCTAGCTCCAGATATTATTCCAATTATGCCAGGAATTAGCTAGTTTCCTCTCTCCTGTTTGTGATTTGTCCCCTTAGCTTTTGGGCCATGTCCCTGACTATTTCTGATTGGCTTATATAAAAGCAGCATTCTTTGTTTAAGAAGAGGCAGAGCCCTCCCTTTTCAGCTATCAGTAGGTCTAGCCCTCTCCTATTCTGCAAAACCACCACAGCCAGGGAGTCTAGCTGGTCCTGTGAGGCCACTAAGGATTTGGTTACTCTCTCAATATCATCTGTGAA